AACTTCCTTACGGCTCACATTTTAAGTAGTTAGCCTAAATAAGTTCTTAATTTCATCACTACTTAGTTACTTCGTTTATAATTAATTATTTTTCAGACCTACGTCGACCCTGCTGACTATGATGTGCTTCGATTTTGGACCAGAGGTCTTCATCCCGCTTCTTTGTTCTCCTCACTACCTAGGGGCGTCTCTCTCTTTTCAAAAGTCAAACCCCCAGGTCTCTGCTTTGGTCATGTTATGATGGCAACACGTTTAAAACAGGATTCAAGACTGTCTCTCCATCTTTTCAAGGTAACTCATTAACTGTCCATCACTTTTATATGTGGGTATTAGTTGGATGATTACTTTCGCCCAACTTTGGCCAAAAAATCTTAATGAGTAGGAACTGTTGACATCAAAGGTCCTATATATGAGTAGGTCTACTAATTTCATTGGATTTCACTTAGCCTTACTTCCCCAAAAATTATCCTATCCAGATTGGACCGCAGTTTTGAAGGGGTTCGAAATCAAGCGCACAGGTAAAGTAGCGACACATTATCACCCTGCCACAACCACGCATGTCAGTGTGTCATAGGGCTGACATGATTTTTGAGACCATGCATCCTATATATTTACAGAGGAATTTTCGAGGGAATAAAATGACGTTTGAGGATCGATATTATGGTTTTTCTGCAAAGTTATAAATAGGCTTCGCAATGCCATTGAACTTCACTTAACCTTGTCTCCAAAAAGTCTGTCTCATGCAGTGTGGACTGCAGTTTCGGACTCATCCAGACCTAATCAAGACCGCTGACAAGATTCGATACTGGATCGTTTCTTTGCGACCTTTCCACTCCACCACATAGCCACAATTCACATTCGATCACATAACAGATATGACAATTAGTAAAGGCCACCTTTCTCCTAAGTAAAATTTATTGTGTGACTGCTTATTGAGCAAACAAGTTTGCCATTTTATTCGACGACGTTATTTATTTTCGTATTTAACAGTTCGTATTGAATAAGAACTGAGCTACCCTGGGTCTCTCAAAATGCTTTAACGATTGATAGTCGAGTTATCCTACAAGGAGATGAATAGGCCTCACGATGCCTTTGAGATTTGTTTAGCCCTGCCTCTCATAAGGTTTCGACAATAACTAATCCGATTGACTACACACGTTTGCTTATCCAGTTATAAATATAATTTGAATGAGGCCTGGCTTCTATTGAATGTCAAATATGCACTGTGACACACTGGCACCTATGACTGTGTTAGGGGAGGTATGATATATCCACGATTCTGCAGTATAATCCTTCTGGGATAGATTATGACATCTAGGCGAATTCGAATCTGCAGTTCATTCTGCATGAGATGGACTTTCGGGAGCTATGGCTAGGTGGTATTCACTGACATGCTTGGGCTTACTTATCTATTTATGGGAACTCATATATCATTCCTTTATTCACCATAAGCGACTTAGTGACTATGTTTCTATCAAAAATTATTTATAGCCTTTAAAACCGCCCACTTTGAAGATTTAAACTTAAAATTAAAATTGACCATATTACTTGTATGGCCTAATCAGTATATATTACTATCATAGTCCTTGAATAAGAACTGTGGACAGTTCGTAAAATGTAATGAAGAACCGATAAGTTAAAGCTTTTCACGATGATATGACTAGATCTCATGGCGCCATTTAAATTCACCCTGCCTTGTCTCTTTAAAAGTATCCAATAGAATTGTAAGGCCTATTCATTTCGTATCCTACTATCCTGTGTAGCCTAGGCTAACTACAGTTGTTATTAAAGATATACTGGTAATATTGAATACTACTCATTATAAACATCATTGTGCATTGAGTCGATTGTAGTGGCAAATTAAAATTTGCTTCCTTGTCAATCCAATAATCAAATGTGATATGGGCGACGCCTGGCTTGCAATGAAAACCGCCCCATAACTTACTGGCATTTGCAATGCTAGCGTGTCGCCACTTTACGCACACACTTAGGTTTCGATTTCTGTTCGGTACACTGATGAGGCCCAGACTTAATTATGTATAATTATTCATCTGCTTACTTTTATTTACTGGTTTGTCCACCAACATTATATACTCATCTATCTAATATATGTACATCCTTTAAACAACTCATCCACATCTTTACCAACTCAATGCTACATCACAAAATCTACTCATTGCCCAAAATATATACCATCTCATTCGTATCTTATAATTAGACAGTTCCGATCGGCCCTTCTGCAGATGCAGCTGAGCGAAGTTTGGCTACTCTTTTGCCTCGACTTCACTTTACACCACTATCCAAAGCAAGCCCTGTCGTTCATCAGGCTCTCTCCATCACCAGCCTGTTCGGCATATCAGCTCTTGGTTTCATGTCTTTGGTTTACCTCCTGGGATCATCATTTGCGAGCCTTACCAATACTGCTGGCAATGAGACTCTGATCGCCTGGTGTCTGGCTGCGGCTGCGGTTTCAGGAGCGACTGGTAATAGCCTATTGCTAAACAAGGCAAAAGAGCGGATGGGTTTACTGGAACGACAAAAAGAGCTGGTACGTAATAGATGATTGAGACAAAAAGTCTAATAAGATATGAACTCAGATAATCTAAGCGATAATGGCTATCGTTAAGGTAATCATGTTTATTCCGAAACGATTGATCCCTGAAACTTCTTATTTAGGGTTATGGTAATTGAGGTTTTTTTCAGTTTATCTTCCCTCGGCTACTCGATTAATCCATCCTCATGTGGGTGCGTAGTACATATAATTGCTCGCGTCCACACTCTTAATACGTTCTTTACCATTCATGTCATTATACGATGCGATCACAGCCCTCAGTGCCACTCCTATAC